ATATATCCTGAGACAAGTTACCATCTTCAACCTGAGTAACCGGGGACTATTCTATAACTTAATTCAACAACACCAGATAAATGTTATAAAATCTTTAAAGTACAGTGTAAAGTACTTGTTGAATACAACATAAGTTTAAATGCTCTTAGCATGAACAAATAAAAGATGATTGAGAAACTTACATGAGCTAACTATCCACCTTATTCCTGGGGGCTCTACTGTCTAAATGATTATGGGTACAACTTCCTGTCAGACAGGAAGTAGCAGTAAGTGTTGGTTAATCATGGTAGTGGAGCATGGACCACGGTTTATTTAGAAGTAATTTGCATTCAGTTTAGCAAATAAAACTCTGTTTTTGTTCTGTTCTCATTTATTTAACAACCATAAGTTTACTCAAATAACCATGCTGAGTTCAGGTACCTGTTGTGTTCAGGGCTGTATGAACAACCAGACCAAACTAAATCAGTGGCTACGACAGTTTTGAACACGGACCCAAAACAAAAAGAGTTCCTGTGAAAAGAGCTATAGTTTCCATCTCCTACCTACAGATGAGGAGTTACGAAGAACGTGTCTGAAAAATGTGAACTTGAAGAGACCACCCAAAACTCTGTATGTGTTCATTTCACTTTGTTGACAAACGGCCGACGGAGGAAAACCTGCATCCTACTTTGTGTCTGGACGACAATAAACCACCGGGGAAGAGACACCAGATCCTCAGAAAGACTGAAAACAGTGAGATGAGAATATCAGGGATAATTTCAAGTGTATGGAGCTCACAGCTTTATAGTATTTGTTCATCTTCTGTATTACAATTTTCTCTACAATTAACCGAAGCTCAGTGATGGAGGACTTTAAGGCTTTGGCTGGGCTCTGTGTCTGTTTTAAGGTCAATAAGATTGTGTCCCACCTCTTTTAACAAAACACACCGACCTTATTACTGTGGAGACACTGATACACCTCAGAGCTTTTCAGGTTGTTCATCACTTCACTGTCAGAAGAACTGAGTCAGTAAAGTAGCTAAACATGCTAGTAGATGTAGCTAAATATGCTAGTAGATGTAGCTAAATATGCTAGTAGATGTAGCTAAACATGCTAGTAGATGTAGCTAAACATG